TAAGTTTCTCATTTGTTTAGAGCTTTTAGTTAACGAAATATTTCTGTTTTCATAGCTCTTACTATTTTTATGGTGTATCATGTTTCAGGTAGCCCGTTATAATAGTGTTGCACAGCATCAAACTATTCAACATTCAAATAGCAGTCCACTGTTAAAATGTCGAGCGGAAGTGTTGCGTATCATGGAATTACTTTCGGAAAAGGAGTACATGAACGTTGCAGATTTGATGATCCCGGTAGTTTTGTGGGTGATATTGTTTGAATGAGTTATAAAATTGAAAATTTCTATTTGAGATTTCTTGCTTCTCTTATAGATAGTAATTTTAGGTGGGTGATATACTTGTCCACTGCTTGGATGCATCACTGCTCAAGCATAAATCACTGTCCGAAATCTTCCCACCAATAACAAGGTATGCCATCTTCCTGATCACATTTATTGATTTCTACAATTTCCCATTTATTATGATGCACTGATCTATTTATAGAATCTTTTCTATTAAATACATTATAAACTAAAAAAAAAGTGATTTTTTTTTTGGGTTCTACATGGTTGCGTACTGTCCGAATACCCGCCGCATTGCATTTGGTGGGCGAACTGGCACGGTAGTCGTTCATGAGCTTAGAGCCGCCAAAGCACAGGTATTGCCTTTTTTTTTATGGTTCATAATTTGACACCAATAAAAAAGTCATCATGTCCTTTATGTTCAAAAATCCAAAAAAATATGGTAGAACACTTCGAAAAAAGAAAGAATCTGTTATATTTAATATTGAATTGTAGTATGAATACAATGCTTTCAATATCCTTTTGATATGACATCAGAATAGTCATAAAAGTAGTTATAAATATTAAGTTTCAGACGCTGCAGGCTCACAAGGGTGCCGTTACAGCCGTGGCATTTTCGGAAGATGGCAAATTTTTAGCAACTTACGGAGCGGAGGAAGCTAAATTATCATTTTGGCAAACGTCACAAACATTCCTAGTCAGTCCTTTCTCTTTACTAAAACTTACAGACGTTATCGGTTGTTTTCATCACTACGAAATCCAGCTTAATCTCATTATTTGCTTACTGGACATGAAAACATTTTATCCTTCGAGTAGTTGCTATCGAAGCTTTTAAATAAGCCTGTATATTGTCTGCTTTCTTCAGTTGGATAAAACGTCGGTAATGTGTGGTGTTACAGGGCATGGGTCAGAGTCAATTTAAATGTGTCAAGTCACAGTCAGCACCTGGAATCTTTCCAGTTCTCTCACCTAGTGGTACACAGCAAGCCTTCAGAGCTCGTTTAGTATGGATCTCTCTCAAATCGGTCACTTTGATGCTTCCAAATAGCAAAGAGTTCAGGTTTTCTTTCTAGAAATGTTTTGAAAAAATTTTGAATGTGATTTTTTTTTTTCAATTGGGATTGTTTTGAAATCCAAGATTTTTTTCTAGTTATGAACGCCATATTTTGCAACTTATGTAATTCTTTTCCAAAAGCTATTTTCCCAAAATCTGCTGCTTGTCGTGGGAAAAGTTAAAAGTATTTTGAGTAGTTCCTTAAAATAGCCAAATCTGTTACTTCATCACTTTCTTTGATTGTACATTACTGGGTATGCTTCTTGTTCATTCCTACTTTTAAATATACTCTCTTATATAGATGTTTTTTCTATCCTCAACTTTCTAGAACTGTTATTGGGATTTTATTGCCAGTTCAATAGCATGTAGTAATCATAAAATGATCATTTAGCTGCATTATTTGCTAGCACACATATGGACTCAAGCGTACACTTATACAATATTGCATGCATGTATCAACGTCGTGTAAGGGTCAAAGACGATACTTCGTTCTGTTTGTTTTTAATGCTTTTTACGTCAGAAACAAGAACTCGATAGCCTAATGCTAAGCATTTACTATTGGTACAATTTTCTGTTGGAAAAATATTAGCAATCCTCCACATATGACAGTGCTAATTGACCATATTCATTCAGGTTCCTGTATGTTACAATGACAGATTTTAATTATTCTTTCACAAGTATGCTTGATAATTTGTTTGCTGTTTATTCAATAGCTAAATTGGATGCCCTGCTTATTGCCATTTTTCCGGTTTTGTTAGTGCTTGCTATGTACAAATATGGTCCCCATATGCTAGTCTGGCAACTTTATTGTAGCAGGCGATAAATTATCGCTCATCGTAATAAAGTTGTTAAAGTTAATAAGCACAATTGAAGATTTTGTCCCTTTGAATTTATTAGGAGGGTAAAAACAAAACGGAAAGAAGTGCTTTAATAGATGACGAAATGAATCGAAATGCATCAAAGTGGGAAACAATCAGCAAACAAGAAACTGCAATCTATGAGTAAGACGTAGAGCAACATAAGCTATTTCAAAAACATACGTGGAGTGGGGAGAGGAGGAGGGATGGAAGGAGAGGCGAATTGCAAAATTGCGATTTTGCGTTCTCATTAAAGTAAACTAAACTACGAAGCACCAGTCCCTTACTTCACCTAACCAACGAGCTGTACTTCAACTCAATATGCTGATAATGCATAGGATAAAACTACATGCTGCGAACTCCTGCAAAAAGATTAACTACCGTTAGTCATCAAGTCCACCTTTTGGAATGGCCCACCCCACACATATCCATTTATCATGTATTAATAGGAATTTTCGAAATTTCAAAATGAACTCGTTCCGCTTCAGCATTATTTTAATCCTTGCCTCAATGTTGCATATATACCTCTAAATACAGCAGCATTTTTTCTTATTGCGGCTGTTTATAACCAAATCAACAATTTATTATTAATCACATCGATGAGCAAAGATATTTCTAAAACAAATAAGAAATGATTATCGCACATCTGGTACAAATAATAACAGTACCAACTTAAGCTTACAAATCAAATGGGTAAGAGTATAAAAACGCTATTTTTGAACTTCCTCCGCATATATATTAGGTCGTAGGATTACTTGGATCAAAAATTTCAAATGTGCTTAATTAGAATTTCATATTATTGGCATTTCAATTCCACTAATGCAATTGATAGATCCTGAAATGCTCTCTTTCCCTCTAGAAGTGATTTATTAAAAACAGAACTGAGTGTTTGTATTTTTTGTGTGTGTGTGTGTGTGTGTGTGTGTGTGTGTGTGTGTGTGTATGATCATATGTGTACAGTGTATGTGTAAATATATATATGTGTGCATGCGTGTATGTGTGTGTATGTGTGTATGTATCTGTGTATACGTTCGTATGCGTGTGTATATATGTGTGCGTGTATGTTTACGAGTGTTGTTTTGTGTCTGTCTTGTTCGTGTATGTCTGTGTGTGTAC